GAGGCTCAACCTGTAGGTTAATTTTTTTCAATGGAAATATGTAATATCAATAAAACACATGTTAAATGCATTAACTGGCCTTCTGACAGATAATAGTAGGGACTCATCAAATTTGGATTATTCTAATGGAATTCTGTAGGAACAGGTACTGAGCCCCGTACTAGTCAACATTTTTTTGTCAATGATCTGGGTGTAAATATAAAATCACAGATGTATTAAAAAAAACTTGAGGATGATAGAAAGATTAATAGAGAGGTAAATCTTAATACGGCTGTCCTACAGAGTGATCTGAGTCACTTGGTAAGTTGGGCCTATTCAAAACAAATGTGCACTTATGCAGTTGAATATAAAGAGAATTATATCCTTAAAGGATCTCGGGGTCATAGTAGATATATGCATCTAAACATGAGGTCCCAGTGTAATTCTGTGGCTAAAAGGACTATTATAATCACTGGATACTATACTCTGCTTAGTGTTCAAGTTATGGTAGATCCTAAGCCAGGTCATATTAAGTTCAGGTCTTTTACCTTTTAATCATACAATATGGATTACAACATTTCATTCTCCCAGCTCCAAGTCTTAAGTGAATTTCGACCCAAAAGAGCCAAAATTGAGCACCTTGACACAGCAAGTGTCTCTACTGATCTCTGTGGCAAAGTAGGTATGTCTATATAAATAAGGTCTGCTCGTGAAGCCTTTTCCTACAGTTGCATAACAGATGGCAGTAGACAGCTCATTCAGACCACTGGCTGATAAGAGTTAGTCACCCTGACCAGTCATTAACCATAGTCATGGACTCACCCTACTCTCTCCATTGTCTCTATGATTCTCTGATGACCTGTGACAAAAAAGGAGGGTGGAAAGGGAAACTGAAGGGAGAGACCTCTCTAAATTCACCAATCAAAGAGCAGTATTGCCAACCCAAAAATCACAAGGAACACTTACACAAAGTTATGAGAATGGTCTACAAATCATAAGATATTTTAAAAATAAAACATGTTGGATTTTTATTGGCCTTTTGTTTCTT